TGACAAATGCGAGTATTTGGGTCATGTAATCTCTGATAAAGGTGTAGAACTTAACCCTAATCAAATAAATTGCATCCATAGAATTTCTAAACCACGTAATAAAAAGGAAATCAAAATGTTTCTGGGTTTGACTGGGTATTACAGGAAATTTATTGCGAATTTTTCGACGATCGCGAAACCTCTGACGCACTTGGGCAGAGGAACAGGAAAATTCATTCTTAGCCCTAAAGGAAAAACTAACTAGTAAACCTATTTTACAATTCCCTGATTTTTCTAAGGAATTCATTTTAAGCACCGATGCATCTAATGTCGGAATAGGAGCAGACTTATCACAATTTTCAAATAATCAATATCTTCCAGTTGCATACTATTCTCGCACACTAAATAACTCAGAGCAAAACTATTCTACATCGGAAAAAGAACTGTTAGCAATAATTAATTTTGTCGAGCATTTTCGGCAGTACTTATGTAGTCGTACATTTACAATCTATACAGATCATAGACCACTTCAATGGCTTTTTAATTGAAAAAATCCGTCCTCCAGATTAGTTAGATGGCAACTAGACTAGAAGAGTACACTTATAATATAAAATATAAACCAGGGTGCATTAATTCAAACGCAGACGGTCTCTCTAGACTCGTTCCTGAAAGCTCAATAAATATTACAGTTAATAAGGATCAAAGTTATCAAGATTTTGTTAAATTTCATTATACTACTCAGGATACTATATTTTGAAAAAAGTGCGGCTCTTAAATGTTTAATAAAAATCTGCTGTTGCCACCACAGAACCGACAGTTACCCCCAAAAAAATAACTATAATGCGTCGGTAAAGTAAATGTTTCGACGCGATTCTTAAATTTAACGATTCTTAAATTTAAAATTTAAACTTAAATTAAAATTGCGGCTCCATAAATTTTATTTTTTGTACGTTACTTTGTTGAAATTGTGGATTTGGTTTTACTAATATGTTGTGAGTGATGGCGTGAATGTCGTGTGTTTGTTTTGAATTTGTGTAAACATTCTGGGATAGACATAATACTCGAAACGACTCGAGATTGGCGAAACGGTCAGTGTCTTAGAGAGAAGCAGAGAGTAAACAGTAGAGCCGCGTGGTTAGTGAAAACAAAGAGAGCGAGGGCGAATAAGCGAGAAAGAATAAAGAGCATTGTTCAGGTTATTAATATTCCCTTTTTATGTATCGTTATCGTCGTTGTGCAATTGTTATTATCAAATATATTTGTATTAAACTTTCAATCACGTGTTATTTACCCACAGAAATGGCTCTTCGGCTCCGAAAGGTTCCCGACCCCTGATTTAGACGAAAGTAATCAGTATTCGGAATATGTAGTTTCAAATTTTGATATAGCAAATCTTACAGTAAAATTTAAGGACCTATCCGAAATTCGAAATCAGAAACAAACTGTATACTTGCTGTATCCGCTAAACCATCATTTCGACAAATTAGAATATAGAAACCTTTTCAATTGCTTTCAAAAACTGAAGTCAATTATCCAAGACAGTAAATTCGTATTAGTGCCACCAAAAAAGCACAATAACATAAAGGTAGACCAACTTAATGAAATGTTAAAATTTGTATTCCCTAAAAATGAGATGAAGTTGTCTAATTTCACGAGAGTAACCCCTGAAACAAAAGAGGAAATACAACAGATTTTAAAAGAGAACCATGATAACAAGCTATCCGGACATTATGGTTTCAGCAAAACATATACGAAAATTAAAGAACAATATTATTGGCCTTCTATTAAAATAGATATCAGAAAATATATTCAATCATGTCATTCTTGCCAAATGAATGAAACTAACTTTAAACCTGTAAAGCAACCGATGGAGATCACTTCCACAGATGAAGAACCATTTGAAAGATTAGCCATCGATATTGTCGGTCCATTACTTCTCACAGAATCTGGAAATAAATTTATTTTAACAGCCCAAGACGATTTAACGAAATATTGTTTTGCCGAAGCAATTCCCAATCATGAAACATTAACCGTTGCAAAAATTCTAATTAAATTATTCATGCAGTTCGGAATCCCGAAAACACTTCTCACAGACTAAGGTCCCAATTTTATGTCCAATTTGATAAAAAATTTAAGTAATCTTCTGAAAACAAAACACATTTGTACTAGTCCTTATCATCCACAAACTAACGAAGCACTAGAACGTTATCATTTGACCCTAAAGGACTATTTGAAACATTACATTAGTCCTAATCAAACAGATTGGGATGAATATATCCGATTCGCTACTTTTAGTTATCTCTATCCATAAATTCACTAATCTTACACCATACGAGCTCTTATTTGGTCGAAAAGCTCATCTACCTGCTTCCATTGTACAAAAACCACAATTCCACTATAGATATGATGATTATATTTGCTCCTTACAGAATAAGTTAAATATACCTATCCTTTAAAATCGCGAAAGGAAACTTAATTAACTCTAAACATAAAAGCAAGGAAAATTATGATAGGAAATGCAATTCAATAAAATTTAAGGTAGACGATGTTGTCTGCATATACCAAAAACAAACCAAAGTAGGTATAAATACAAAGCTAGCACCTAATTTTAGAGGACCCTTCAAAATCACCCAAGTATATCCTAATAATAGAGTAGATATTCAAATAGGAAAGAAAACGTGTAAATACCATATTAACCTCTTAAGACCATATATTTCAGATGATTCCGACGGTATTCTTACTTGTCCTTCTTCCTAATTTCATCGTTAGTAATCCTTATATTAACACACCCCTCTCTCACTCAAGCGGAATATTTTATAATAAAAAAGGTATTGCAAAAATATCAAATTCTAATTTAATTCTCTTAATGCATATTAATATCACTTATTTAAATGAAGCGAAAAACATTTTAGAATCGCATTTTACACAATCATTAAACCTATGCAATAAAGCATTGAAAGATCCTACAGAACACAACCACGTCAATTTTCATTACCATCGAACTTTAACACTTATTTCGGAAGAATTGCGAAATATACACAAAAATCACGAAATTTTGTATGATTTAATAAGAATTTCTAGAAAACGCAAACGCTGAGGTTTGATTAATGGAACTTCCAATATATTAAACTGGTTAATCGGAACACCAGACGCAGATGATGCCCAGTACTATTCCGATAGTATTAAAATGCTTGTGAACGATAACAAACAAACGCAAACACTTTGTTGGCTCCCACAATGTTCATGAAGCCTGATTATATAGCAAATAACTCTTTATTTGCAACACAGTTTGTTATGTAACAGTAATGCAATGTAACTGAGTTCTTAAATGTTAAATGTGTGCGAGTCCAGTGTCCTGAGGTTCAAAATTCGTGTAATCGTTCGTACCAGAGTTCAGAATTCTATGTTTCACTAATGTGTTCTTACAACAGTGTCCTTTTTGTCTATCACCCCAGTCCCTTTATACGGTTTTTGTCCGTCCATTTGGGTCCCTTGACGGGGGTGAGATTTGGGTGGGGGGCCAAAACTCCGAATCAAGTTAGGTCGATGCCCGGCGCCAACCGCTCACCCTTAGGGAAGGGGTGTTCTGGGTGAGGTACGCGTCACCTGAGCTTCTGAGAGAAACCCAGGGTAACGGTATCGCTCGCTCGCTCGCATGTGTCTCAGCTCGCGTGGGTTTACGATACGTCAATTGCTATTGAGATGCACGAAGAAACTCCAAATTCTCCGCTTTAATGAGAGGTTTGGAGCCCTCCTGACAATAAGGAATAACTAACGAACGAAACATTAAACGCGTATTCAAACCTTAATCTCAAAAATAGCAGAGTCGCGTCCATATCGTAAACCTGATCTAAACTTAAGTATCCTTAACACACCTTTAAAATCACGAGTCCAAATAATCTCGAGCACAATAAGGAATCTTAATAATTCGTTACAATCATTAAAAACCACTGAGGATACCCTGAATAATAATTTGAGATTAATTAATAAATATACCACTCAAACCAACGCACTTTTAACACGTTTATCCCTTGAATCAGTAATAACAGAGCATGCTACTATGCTCTTATCTCTTTGTAACTAATAAACCTTAATCTCAAAAATAGCAGAGTCGCGTCCGTATCGTAAACCTGATCTAAACTTAAGTATCCTTAACACACCTTTAAAATCACAAGTCCAAATAATCTCGAGCACAATAAGGAATTTTAATAATTCGTTACAATCATTAAAAACCACTGAGGATACCCTGAATAATAATTTGAGATTAATTAATAAATATACCACTCAAACCAACGCACTTTTAACACGTTTATCCCTTGAATCAGTAATAACAGAGCATGCTACTATGCTCTTATCTCTTTGTATGCGTATTTCCAGAGAATACCACAGATATATAAAATCGATTAATTTAGGAAATCATAATATAATTTCACCATTTGTTGTAACTCCAAAACAATTGTGTGAAGAATGAAATAATTACAAGGGCAATCTTGATTTACCTGTAACAACCGACATACAAAAGGAGGATGTTAAAAAAGTGCCAAATTTGTAGCAGTTTAGGCACCTAAAATTTTAATGAGGCATCATTCTGTAAGTCCTAAGGCATCATAAACGCACAATTATTTATCTGAAATGTGATGGGAAAGTTATAAAAAATGTAGATGAAGTTGACGATACTTCGAAATTCGAATTGAAACTTTCTGACTTCAAATGATCATAACTTCGAAATGAATGCATGAAATGAAAAAATTCAAACGCTGTTCTATAGAGGAAAGTCAATATTTATATAGTGTGTAAAAACATATTGCTCAAATTGCTAATTAATAACAATAAAACGCGAAAAATTAAGATAATCGTGAGTGTATTTGAGTTTTAACTAAAATACTATTTCCTGAATCCAGGTCGATGTGGTATTTGCGGTAATCTATTGTCAAAGATGTTATTGCTACTTGGAATTCAAAGTCCATTTTTTCGCAAATAACTCTTTAGAGACCGATACACTACAAGTTTCGTATTTTCCGATGAGACACACCGCTGATAATTTGTACGAAGTTCTCGTACAAACAGCTCGAACTTGGCAAATTAGTTCCAAGATACATTGTATTGTTAGTGACAATGGAAGTAATATTGTAGCGGCAATAAGGAAAGCACCATGGCAACAGCTGTCTTGCTTCGGGCATACAATAAATTTAATAGTACGTAAGGCTTTAAAGAACAGCGAACATATCTGCAACATTATCAAAAAATGTGAAAATATAACATATTTCTTTAAAAGCAGTAATGCTGCTTCTGAATTATTAAGAAACCAGCAAATCCGACAAGGATCGCGTAAAGTTTTAAGCTTGAAAAGGGATGTTATAACATGGTGGAATTCCACTTGTACAATGCTCATCCGTTTTATAGAATTAAGAACAGTTTTACCGACAACTATCGCAGAACTCAATCACAAGAGTGTAGAACATTTGACATTCGAGGAATGGGAAAATCTTAACGATATTACGAACATTTTAAAACCGTTTTGTCAGGCAACTATAGAATTATCCGACGAAAATTATATAACGATATCCAAAGTTATGGTGAAGGTGCTGTAAAAGACCAGGAAAATATATCAACAGATGTTCAAATTTTACGTACGAATTTATTGAATGAATTAAATTATCGTTATAAAGACATTGAAACACATCCTACGTATGCAATTTCTACGATTTTGGATCCGCGATATAAAGATATTGCGTTTGATTCAAAAGAATCCATTAAAATAGCGAAAAATAATGTGATAAATGAGTACAATATTAATCAAAACAATTGCAATATGCAGCCAGGAAAGAGTAATAGTCCTTTAACAACAAATGCAGATGTAAATGATAGTATATGGGCAGATTTCGATAAGAAAGTGCAAAATGTAGAATTTACTACTGACAGCAATCTTTCATCAATAAAGTATGAATTGAAAAGGTAAATATTTTTCTTAATGATACAATTTTTAAAAACATACCATATAAATATATATAATAATTTTATATACATTACAAAATATACAAAGTATAATATGTAAATTCAGAAGATGATATTCCTATGTTTTTAATTTCATCAGCAACCTCTGTTCCAAGTGAAAGATTATTTTCTAAAGCTATCCGATAGAAGAAACAGACTACAGCCGAAACATACAAACATGCTGTCTGCAATTAGCTCCAATAAAAACAAATATATTTAAATGTTAAAATTATTATGCGTTCCACTCTACTTCAACCACTTTTGCCTCTATTCGCCTTAACGATATAGATAGTCACACCTGAAGTCTGGTCTGCGGCCGCAAAGGTGCATTTAACACCCCTCCAGCGACTCCAAAACAAAGCACTGAAGATAATATTAAATCTACCGATGGATCATTCCACCAGAGACATCCACACCAGGACAAGGGTCACATATATTCATGAACTGATCAAGCATCTCATTGCAGGGTACTCAGTGGATGATCATCCAAACAAACTGGTCAGGAGTACGGCCACATTTCAACCTCGTCATCTGCCTTATAAGTCCAAGGTACGATTCCCGTTGGACCTCGCCAAGGATAGAGCTACCTGAGCTTGATTTGGGAATTGGTTATGGCTTGATATTTCGACTTGTTTGACTTATTATACCCCATGCCATATACCCCTCACCCCATGCATCCCCACCGCAGTGTGGTCTTATTCTAATGCTATTATATTCTATTCTGTCTCTACGCTTTCTAAGCTACGCTTACTCCCCCTCTTGCACAGGTGGCTAGTATCCTACTCTTATGAGCGCATCTTCTGCCTCGAAGCTTTTCAATCCTTCAGACCGCTCTGTGACTTATCCCCCCGAGAGCATTAGATCTCTCACTCAGAGAGACCTCCCCACTAGGCGCCCCTTCTCACTTTGCAGGTTTTTTGAAAGTTTTCCTGCACGCAAATATTCATACATGGCTTTAACATCTATCACCCATATAAATATTATCTAATATCAACTATAATGTTTTAGAGCATAAGGAGGAATTACTCCAGGAGGCTCCCCAGGAAATCTAAGGCGGAGAAAAAAAAAACCGTCAGATACTCCTAATCAGTATAGTTAGAACGACACCTGCTCAACTTAAACATTTAATAAAGAAAACATCAACCACATTTCTGGATTCAACTGTTTTGACAACCTTTCTTTTTTTTTAGGGTCCGAAACCACCGCCGAGTTGGAGTGCCTCAGCCCGGGTGCAGGGAATCCGTCTTGCGACATAGGCGTCCCGCACCCGGCGTTGGGTGGCCGGTGGCAATAAGGTTAAGTTAGCTTAGGCTCCTCTACTTCTCTCAACTGGGCTTGGGACCAGCTATGGCAGTCGCCCCCATAGCCGCCTTCCAGGGGGGGTTAGACGCAGTTTCTATAACGCTAGATATAATATATATACATTCGCGAAATGTCACCGCGTGCTTATTCGTCCCTGTCCTTTAGCGCTACCTAGAAATACCCTATCTTATTATATCCTTCCCTTGGTATATGTACAAAACTCATTCACTCTATTGAATCCCTTCCCTTGAATTCCCCACATGCATTAAACCCCCAAAGATCATTCACTCGTCCTCGCATACTGTTTTGACAACCTGAGACGAAGACAATCTCGACCGTTACGGCCCGTTCCGTACACTCATATACGAAATTTACCAACAATTGCTGCACCATGTAAACTTAAAGAAACTAAATATTCTAAACATAGATAAGTTAGATTCACAGATGCTAGGTGTACGATTGGAAGACTTAGTTAAAGAAGCTGAAACAATAGGAAATCACAAACGAACCGAAAATTATATAGAGACAGCAACAAGATTTTGGACGTACCTTGAGTATGGATTTCTATTTATAATGATTATTTATTTAAGCTATAAACTTTATTTTATTTTAAACGATTTAATTTATTTCGTTTATAGTTAATAAACTTATTAGTTTGACAGTTCTAGTGTTGTTTTCAATATGTAATTCGGTTGAAATAAAATAATTTTCCATATTAACGTTTCTAATCATTGAGCCAAAATATCTGAATTCAAGGTCATGTGAAAGTCATAATATAGTACGTCGTTATATTCGTTTTAGACTATAAAACGAATATTCGCAAAAATCAAGGTGTCCTTGACATTTTATTGAAAAAGCAAATTTTTGAAAAATGTTTTTATTGAAATTTGTAGCCAAGTCGAGACTGATTATCTTTTGCTTCAAACATTTTTGTGAGATTATTGGAAATGCCACAAAAATGGTGGATACTTTTATAACAAATAACAAGTATATAAACAATTAAAATTGATAGTATTATTAAAGTACTGTAAACATTATCCTGATCACTCTGCACACTACATATAGAATAACTGTGAACGTAAAGGAAGCTTTAACGCGTTGTTGCTTCATGTAGAATTCATGTAGCTTCGCATAGTTTGATACAATTTGATTTCATTTCATTCACTATTCAATTGAAACAAAAGTGTAATCAACTCGCCTTGTTGCAGAATTCTATTCACGATTGTATGTATGTACACGCTATGACGAAACACGTGGTAATTCTGAATTGAAGATTTTATTGTACACTTTCCTATACAGTAAATTCTCCACAAGTGTCAGTCCGCAAGGAAGCTAAACCTGACACTTGTAGAGTCAGGGACTACGTTTTCGAGCCTCGCGCCCACCTTTGTAGTTTGCCGAACGTAGACAAGGACAGCGAATAAAAGATAAGGATGAAACATGAGTCGAGGCAACCAAGCGATTTAAATACCAACTTTTTTAATTTTACTTTTTTTATCCCGAAATTTTTTTTAACATATTGATGAGATTCTTCTGATGAAAATGACATCAAACACGACATAATTTGAACAACATTTACTTATTGTCACGCCAGACAGTGAACGTGTTAATAAGTAAATGTTGTTCAAATTATTAATTTGTCCAGCCGTGAAATCTCGTAAAAGAAACCGAGCGGCGTAGCGTTACACGCTTGACTGACAGCGAGCGAGATAACATAGGCGCAGCAATGACTCAGGCCTAGGCGTAGGACCATCTATACTGACACTTGTAGAATCCAAACTGACTGACACTTGTAGAGAATTTACTGTATACAGTAAAAGTTCTATAAGAGTTCCAAAGTCGGGACCGTTGTGTAACAGCTACGAAAAAGGTGGTAGATTTCTCAAACTCTTTGTATTTTACCGACGGACGCAGAAAGAGACAGCAGACAAAGAAGAGAAAGGTATTGAAAGTCGAGCCAGTCCTAAAATATCAAACACCTACATATCGGTGAGACAACACTAAACAAAAGAAAAACTTTTTTATTTTTTGTGTTTTGCTGATAAAAATTTTACTAACATATCCATTTTTTTTTTTCTGATTAAAATGAGACCAAACACGGTACAATTCGGTGTATATTTAGTTACTTAATAAGAAATTCCACACATGCATATGTAGCGGGTAAAGAAAGATTCACAAGCCCAATCGACACAACCAAGTTTTGTAACAATATCGTGTTTGGTATCATTTTAATCAGGAAAATCTCACCAATATTTTGATGAAATTTTTATTAACGAAAAATTGAAAATAACAAACTTTTGTAGTTTTGTTAGCATTGTCTCACGGACATGCCGACGCCGAATGCAATAAAGAGATGCCGCGGCCGTGTCACATTAGTCGCTTGCCTGGTCCAAGGGTGGTCCCCCCTTGTGGTGGGGATAGACCATAACAGTCATGGCGTAGATCCGAAAGAACTCTTATAGAACTTTTACTGTACATATTTGTTTTCCTCTGAATATACAGGGTGGAGCTATAATTTTGTCGACCTTAAATGTTTCCGTTATCTGTAATAGCATGAACAAATGTTGTATACAAAATTTGCATGGCATGGAGGGGAACATATTGCGATGCAAATATTTTTTGCGTGGGTGGAGGCATAGAGATTTGAAAGTCACCGCTACTTTTTTAAATGCGATGCTGTATTTTTTTATCACTGTGTGATAACCGGTATTGAGACGTTTTCAGCAAACTATCTTTACTCATTGCCTCACAACTTACCTCGTCAAAAAACAAAACATACGAAAAAGATATGGATCTTGGCACATTTAACGATATACCTATTGACAAAATCAAAGTCGACGAACGAAGTCATTGTAACTCTATTCTTGACATAAAAACACATGATATGAATGATATCGATTTCTCCTTAATATTCTCGAAACTATAGATCAAGAAACGGTGTACTAACACTGTAACTGGAATATTCTGCAAAATCTGATGGTGCTTGGTTGACATTCCTCGATATTTACATGCATGCCCTTGCCGAGCACGTGTCACATGACGACGAATGATACTATCGATTTGGATATCTTTCACGATATCGTCGTGCAGCGTGTTTGTAATTTCCATGACATTCTCCCAATAATAAAATTATGTCAACAATTTAATTCAAAGTGTAATCTACCATTTTAATAAGAAGTAAATTTCGAGATAGTTACGTTCACACTGCGTCGCAAAATAAGAAAGTACTAAACGATTGATCACTTGAAAATGTCCTATGTACTAACGCTTATTTACAAATATCCATACAAACATAAAATGTTAGATGTCACGCATACAAGCTGTACCGAAATGGAATAACACTACAGATCATTCAAATTAAAATATTTGCTAAATGGATGTTTTTTTGCCACAAGTAGCTAGTACTGTTTTGTAGGGAATAACGAACTGCATCGATTGGTGCATTCAAAAATATACGATGCCATTTAAACAGACAAAGTTAACCTTTATATGTTCTCTACGCATCCACCTATACAAAAGTACTTACATATATACATATTATATCAAATTATGTGCCCCTCGAAACCATGCAACTTTTATTTGATACATTTTTCGATATCATCAACAGTTGCGGAGATATTCGAGAGGATTGATTTAAATAGGACACCCTGTATATAGTTATCTCGCTATTACGTGAAACTAATAAATCTATCTCACGGTAAATATAATACATACATATCGTTTCTTTCTTTTGCACAGCCGCCGATCTTCAGTCGTTCCAAGAACGTGAACCCCCGATCGTACATCATTAATTATCAACACAATGCATAAGGATTAGTTTTTTACGAAGCGTGGACCGCCGAAAACGCACGTGCGCACGATGCAGCTCCGCACGTCACCGGACGTCAACTTTAAATGGAAATGTCTTAATTATCAGAGCACGTAGTAACCAGTAAAAACTGCCATCGAATCCTGCACCATCCCACAGTGGCGCTACACGACTGCAATGGATGAAATAAAATCCGCAATGGAGAGCAAGATGTTTTGCTGCTGTGTGCAAACGTCACGCCCTCTCGCTAGACCATAGAAAGCAATGGTATTTATGGACGGCGCAGGAAGAGACGTTGAGAGCAATACGTTATGATACGATGGAAAATTAAAGAAACAATATATGGCTAGCAAGGAGACACGTATTTACACGTCAATTCCAATAAGAAATATATTGACAAAAAGAAGGTTTAAAAACAAACTTTACATTTAAGAGACGTTTTGCTAAGAGCCCTAATGGTAAATTGTGTAAATATTATAAAGAATTTGCATAATGACAAAAGAATGAATACACTGAATAACAGAAAACTAAATTTTTGTATAAGATTTTTTAATGAAAAAGAAACTAATGACTAATGGAAACAAAAAGTCGCACATTTCTTTCGTATTTTTAAAATATCACTAAATCACATCTCATTTTCTAAAAATCACAAAAATGACCTTGTTCAATTTCAATAGTGATTTTAGTCCTTATTCTCTATAAATTCTATTAAAGAATTTCTACCCTTTAATCACAATTTAAGCTCAATGAAATTTATAATATGATAAAGAGTATTTACCCGTTTATTGAATCATTAAAGTGATTGCTGCGCAATTTCGATGCAATTTCTCATAAAATTGTACAATTTTCAAAAAAATTATTCGTAAAAATTCATACTTAATAAGAAACTCGATGATAAACTTGTTAATATTTTTAAATTGTTTACTTATATTCATGATATTGAATATTTATCACAAAACTTTTACATCCAACGCATTGAAGTAACTAAATACCTCTTTCAAATAGTTTTTAGTGATTGGTGAATTCATTTTGATATCCATATGATCTATACGGAAAACATTGGTTGGTTTCTTAGACTACAGAAATAAGCCAATGGTTGTTTCTACTTTTTGCGCAGGTGCAGCAAGTGCAGTCGATGCGAACAAACCTAATGTCGACCGACGTGGATAGACGAGCACCAAGTAGCTCAAAGTGCAAATTAATTCTGTGCAAAATTAAAAAGTCGTATTCATGGCTACTTACTCGTTCTGTAAACTATACTACATTAACATGTGACACACAGGAAAATGATAACGGCTGAAAGTCTGCAATTTGCAGCAAGAATGAATATGTTCTAAGCACTTGCAGCATCTTCTTTGAATCAGCTGTCATAAGCAGACGATACACAGGTAAAGTTTACTTTGCAATATTTAATTTCTTAATTTTAATATCCTTGCCAGGAAAATTAAAAATTTTCAGTTAGTCTTCTAGAAATTTTGGTATAAATGTAATGTATTTTACATATAGATTCACTATTTCTTAAAATTTTTTTAAAATAAATGTTTAAAATATCATTAATGTCATAAATTTCATATAAATCATCACGATACTATATACATAGTGATTAAATTCCAGAACTTATTGTATGCAAACTTTTTGATCTAACTTGTTGATATTTTTTAATGTTTTAGTATCTAATGCCATTCATTGGACTATAAGGTCATGGAATTAACTGAAACTAGCGTACAAATAAGAGAATGTTCCATAGACTTTATTCCTGTTTACATTAAGCAAGAGAATGACGAACATGAGACAGATTTTAATGATATTAAAATAATTAATGCAGCCCAGAATTTTTGTACTATTGAAATTAAGGAAAACAAAGGATGTACTATAATTAATGACAACAAAGCGTCAAATACAAATAATAAAGATTATGCACAAAATACAAATAACTTAAACAGCTCAAATTCCATATTAAACATTACGCATGAAAATGAAAATTGTAATATCAGTGGTGTTTTAAATGGCTCAATGTATTTACAAAATTTAGATTACGAAAATATAAATATAGAAATACAAAAACCAACAAATCAAGTTGCTGAAGTTTTTATTCATCAAAATGAACAAATACTAACAACCAATTATAGCGTTTCAACAGTTACTATACCAAGTGAACTTTTAGGATTAAATCTTAACATAAAGAAAGAAAATGAACTAGATCAAGAAACAGTTTATACTACAGAGTGGTTGTGTAATGTAAATAATGAAACTGACCTGCAGCTAAAAGTTTCTAAGAATACCAAAGACAAGGTAGAAGTTCCTACTAATATTGATTCTACAATAACTTTATTGAGCAAACAGAAGGATCAAACATCAGAGAATGCCAATAACTTGGAAATCAAAGAAAGTTTACCAGAAAGACCTAAAAGGCAATTAAAAATAAGATCTAACACATTACAAGACTATAAAGAGAAGTTACGAAGAAAAGCAGAGTGCATGAGAGAGAAAAGGAAAAGATTATATGAGCAAGAAAGTGAAGAACAGCGTCAGCAGAGATTAGCAAAAGAAGCAGCAAAAAGACGAGAAATGAGAATGTATTATGAAACACCAGAGCAAAGAAGGAAAAGGTTGGATGCAGAAGCAGCAAGAAAAAGAGAGTACAGAATGTATAATGAAACACCTGAAGATAGAAGGAAAAGGCTAGACCGTGAGGCAGAAAGAAGAAGAATGAAAAGACTTTCTTTGTATGCTAGTGAAACTCCTGAACAAAGAAGAGAAAGATTAAATAGAGAATCAGCAAAACGAAGAGAAGCTCGACTTAATCAATATGCTAAAGAAACGCAAGAAGAAAGAAAGGAAAGATTAAAGAGAGATGCTTTGAGAGTTAGAGAAATGAGATTTACTAAATCTGCTATTGAAACAGAAGAGGAACGCAAACAAAGGTTAGTAAAAGATGCTCTTCGGAAAAGGGAGGTAAGAATGCATGGACGCCATTCAGTGCATAATAATTTCACTGAGCTTCAAACCATTCGCAATTTTGAAGAATTAAACAATGTGCAGATAAAGGAGAATCCTGATAATCAATTGGGAGGTCATTATTTGAGCAACTGGATGGTGTGGTTCCAAAATTCATTAATCCAACCAGTTTATGTTGGAGAACAAATCGTCAAATCTCAATCAGAAAATAATGGATAAAAAATTTGTGTAATAAACTTTTAGTACTATACATATAATTTCTAAGCATCTGTAAATGGAACAAAGTACAGTATCTGAATTATGTATGATTTGTATATGCTTTTCATACATTTACGCTTGCAATACCATAGCAGAACAAAATATACTGTATGGTCACTGCATCAATATACTGTTTATTATGTACAACATATGTTATTAATAGTTTATATACACTGTACAATTTAATTTTTTAATACTTATACATTTTGTAACCGAACATGATTACGTTATGATACATTTGGGAGAATGTAAAAACCTGTTATTTAGTATATTTATTAATATAAAAGAAAATTCAATGGTTAATGAATATTATAAACCTTTAAAATGTTTAATACCATTGAATTTTGTATTATGATAACTAGAAAGTATTTAAAAGTTTTACCATTTTAAATGATGTACAAAGTATAATAAAATTATTGTAATGTTATTATATCATTTAGTATGAGTGAAAAAAGAAAGTTTGACAAGGTGTTAAGATTGTAAAGAATTAAAATAATATGTTTATGAGATACAAAAGATACTTCTTAACAGTGCCTTTTTGTTTACTATTCTATAAAAACAGTTTGTAATGTGATTCAAACAATTTATACACATTTATGTATTATTTAAACATAAATGAATAATTCTGATAAAAGTCTGACTATTCCTTTATATAAATATATATAATATGTATATGTGTGCGTGTGTGTATGCGCGCGCGCGTGTGGGTGCGTAT